GAAGAAGCAAAGAGCACGTCTTGAACCAAATATTTATACCTACATCTCTGTTTGAAAATGAAGTCTTTTAGGTTAGTCAGACTTTCAAGCATTTTGATCAGGCAATATGTATGGAATAATGTGCCAAAACCAGACACAAATGGGATAGAAATGCTGATCATGACAATACATTGCGTTAGAGCTGAACTTTACAACAAAAGACTTATAACCGCCAGATGTGAACACGGCTTTTCACTGTGAGAGTGGGGTACTCTTACAAACTTATGCACTTTCATATATATGAAATAGTTCTGAAACAGTATTTGTGAGCTAGTTCAGGTTCCAGAGGGAGTATAGATACATTCACATAGCACTCCAACTGAGATATAAAACCCTAAAATAGACAACCTCTCTCCAGAAGTTTAGAAGGACACAACCAACTAATAAAATCATCATTTGAATTATCAAAATTAAGTGAATAGGAACTTGTTGTTTGGAATTTTTGTAATTCAGATTTGTCTCCTCAAAACAAAGTCTTTTTCCCAATTACTCAGGGTTCACCTACATGCATACTGTTATGCTTAACAAAGATATTACTGAACAGGAAATGTGCATGCTAGGAAATGCATGAACAGGAGATAATGAACCACAAAAAAGAGCTCTGCAGACAACAGGAATGTGTATTGCTCTTCTCATGTAATTATTTTAGAGTGTCCTCTATTCTTTAAGCTTTCTGAAAAGGCGGACAATTATTAATTCTACAAATATGTTGCAATTGCTTTTGACATGTGCTTCCTCAGCCATGGGAGAAGAATGCAAGAAGAAATCAATGGGAAAAAATTGCTGGGAAGAGTAAAATTGCCTTAGGGATTTTGTTCTATGTAATACAATGGCCTAGGTATTCTATTTATAAGGAAGACATGGTATTTATATCTATTGATTTTTCAGGGATCTTTTGCAGTCTGCAGCCTTAAAATTTCACCTATCTTAGAAAGGAACACATCTTTAGTGAAATCTTGATGTTCTTCAATGACATTATGCTTACAGAACAGTAAATATGATATAGAAGAGGTGAAATAACCCCAAATTTTGTGCTCCCTTTGCAAGGCTATAAAACTTCCTTTAGCATTGCATATTTAATATACTAAGGTTGACTACTCATTTGCGGACTGGAGTTTCACATCAGGGGATATGAACGAAGGGCCACAAAAACATCAGTTACGACTGCTTTTTCCTAAGACCATTTACATTGTCACCCAGACATTAGGATAGTTTAGAGTGGTCTCTGGACCTCCACGAACCTTCAAGAGTCAGACCTCCTAGCAAGGGATTATCAAACAACAGAGGATCTCTGGAAATACATTCTTCGTCTTGCTTATAGACTGTGCTAGGAATGAGTAAACTCAAGGGGAAAAGACTGACAAAGGCTCTATCCCCACTACCCCCAATCTCCCATCTCACCACACTCCAAGGGATAGGTCAACTGATATTGCATGCTGCAAAATGTTTATACCATTGTGGAACAAGGCTTGGGAAGCATCCACACATTAGTCAGTTATCCCACTGAAAGATAATGACAGGGGATGTTTTACAAGACAGATGAGCTGTATATGTAGAAACTCAGGCATACGTTTTAAGAAAAAAGTAGTATAGTCCCTTTTGAAGCCCCATTCTAAGCTGCCTTTAACTCCAAACTTTTCTTTAATATGCAGGAAATAACATGCTAGTATAATATAAACCAAGACAAAAATGTTTTATTCATAGGGATTTTGTACGCCTTGGTTACCACAGCTTTTCCTGTACCCAGGCCAGCTGGTACAATATGTACTCTTTTCCATGTTTTGTAGCTGTTTTCTCATATTAAATATGTCAAAAGTTTTATATCTGAGCAATAAAAGTTAGTAACATAGGTGTGATGCATAGTAATGAAGGTAGAACAACAGTGTATAATGGTAATATCTTAGTAAATCAATTAATATGTTTATGGCTAATGATAAAAAATATGAAAGGTTAGACAAGAGTGACGTCAGTCAGTGGTACCACAACATGGCTCTGGGTAAGGACTATTCCTAATCATTAAAAAGATATCTACATGCTACTTCGCAAGTCAAAATAAATCTGTTTCTTTGCCTGAAAGCTTGAATAAGATAGCAGTGCCTGACTGCAGAGCGTGCATATGGAGGTGCTTAAATTTAAACATTTCTCCTCACCTTTTTGGTACAGTTCTGTCTAGATATTTACCAGGCTGTTTCTGGGCCCCACATATTGCTATTTCCAAATTTCCTTAGACAAAGCAAAATCCACCATCTTTAACTTTCCCAAAGGCCCTTTTAGCAAATTAAGAGCACTCTCATCAAGACTTACATTTAGGTTTGACACCGATAGCAACGACTTCGCAAGAAGAGATTCTAGCTCCTCATTTTACATACTAGAGAAAGAAACTGAGGAAGGCAAAATGTCTGTATCTTAGCCTGGCTCAGTTACCTGTTCATTTTTCAATGCTCTTTCAGATTTGGTTGGAGTCTTTACATGTTTGGGACAGCCTCCCCACAGTTTTCTCTCTGAATAATGGAATATTTATTTTGCTTCATTCCCTGGTGGCCAGCTTATTCTTATTCTCTATTTGGTTTCTTCTGCCTCTCCTTTTCTAAAATGGCTGCTGAAAACCCTCTTCATTTAGTGTCTTGACTTTCTCTTGAAAACCTATCCCTCCTGCCTCCCTTGATCCATCTCATCAGTTAATCAAAATCCTCATCTATTGACAGTTGTTAGCTACCTTTATACTGCAATTCAAACCTGAACAATCAGTTTGTTCTGTGCAGTAGACAACTATTTCTCTGCAAGGGCATTTGGGTGAATAGCAGACCATTGATGTTAGATGCAACTTCTGCTGTTAGCAATATGTTATCAACTCTGAACTTTACCCAAAGAGACAGAGGTTCAGATACCCCAGAAGAGACTCTACATATCTAAAGCATAGCCTAAAGGATGGACGCAGATATTCATAGAGAATATCCGGATTCACGTTGCCTTCCTTATTTCTTTGCTTACCAGCTTCAGCAAGGAACGTGTCTCTAACCTAAGCTGTACAGTAAGTATTGCAAGGCATCTTTTGCTACCTTTATTTGGATGGACAAAAGGGATGTTCTTCATCTTGGGCCTTTCTCTGAGCTTGTAAATCATTGTGTACACTCATGAGGGAACCCAGAGCTCTGAAGTGGATGTTCCTGGATTCCATAAAGAAGAGTAGAAGGCCTTCACACTAAAAAAGACCAGGTTTAACCACCACAGTTCAACTTTCTGAATAGAAAACACTCAAAGAGACTACAGAAAACAGAGTAGAAATAAAAAGCTTTGCTAACCATCTTGGTGTCCTTTGCAGGCAGATCCTTACCTTTTCTCACTGGCATCTGACTTCAGCACTAGGACCCTCACCACTGGAAATCTGTGACAAATCCTCCTTGACATTATCATTTGTCAGGGTGCAAAGAAAGATGCAAAGACACTTATTTTCACCCTGTTCCATTATAGATTCTGAGGAAGGGCCTTAATGTTAGCAAAATTTGGCTTATAGACCAGCCTCAGTGAATTGTACGCCCTAATGTTCAAGACGTCACATAATTCAGAACGAAGTGTGAGGTTAAACCCGAGGCTGCAGATCTGGCCACTAGCAAGCACAGCAGAGAGTCCATTAAAGGAAACAGAGCAGTTTGCTAAATCAGGCAATATATCAATCCTCTTCGCTATGTACACTTTATTTACAGGGCATTTGCAGATTCAGAATGATGATGAATGCCGCTGCAAAACACAGTTTGATTTTCACCACTTCAAGGCAGAGAGCAGAGTAAAAATTATTTGTGATGTTATCTTTTTTTAACCAGTCTCTGGTAGTTAATCCAGAGGCATTTCTTTTTGTTTACTCAGTCTTGTTTCTTATTACTTTCCCACCTTCTGCTTTATTTTATAGCCCTGTGTCTGCTCAGTGAGTCTGAGGAGTACTCTGTTTTACATGCACCACTGCATGGACAGATAGGAAGTTTTACCAAGGTCGACAGATGCTAACCTACTCATAGAAGACAAGTTACTGCAACTTCTTAGTTTGCAAACTATTATTCTTCCATGGTATCAGTTTTGGCAACATCAAAACTGCAATAAAAAGTGCATTTTCCACAAGAAAAACAACAGCAAGAGCATGATAATACTTTATAAATACAGACATTTTCTCTTCTCTCATAGCCTGCATGGAATTCAGTAATAATACCAACTATGGATAGAGTCACTTAGTACAAACATCAGTTAGTCACTCTGACCTAACATTTAATAGGTTCTTTTATACATAGATTTCTCTCCACACATTTCCATTTCCCACAAAGCTTGATTCTTGTGAAGTACCTATTTCTTCTACTGCCAAAAATATCACTGATCCATATGATCTGACCTCTTAGCAAAAACATTTTCAAGTGTCATCTGTTTTTGTTTTCCAGAAATCCACCATTGTGCATTCCCCCTCCTTAAAAGGAAATTTTATGAGAAAACAAAAATATTTCTAAATTCTTTTCATCATGTATCTTAACATGCATTAAGCAATGTCACTGCAGTATCACAGAATGGTCATTTTCTCTCTCTCCTTTTTCTATGACTTATAAAGAAAGTTGGTGTTAATATAATAATGAATGGTTTGCTCACGATCCTGTTCGTTTTTGCTGAGTTCTAGGAGAAGAAAGTCAAAGGGCATTTGGATTATCATTTGCACAGTTCAATTTCTTACTGTAACTACTCAGCAACTTCTTAAACCAAATAAAGCAAAGAATTCTGGAATGGACATAGCCTACACGATGAAGTCATCATTCCTAAGCCATGGTGCTATACTTAAATTGTTTATTGAACTAGAGTATCCCACTGGTATGAAGGACAGTTCAGAGTCACTGTTGGAAAAGAAACAAAACATTTCCCCCCTTATTCTAACATCATACAATTTCAGTTGTTTCTCACACTGCTAGTAGGAAAATGTATGTTCTTACCCCACAGCCTATTCCGTTGCCTGGTTCACATGTAATTTTCCTCACTCCTGGTTCAGTAAGCAAACCTGCTCCGCAGCCGGGAGTTGGACACAGCACTCCTCCCATCTGCAGCACACATTCCTCAGCCCCATAGCGCTGGTAGCGGTTGTACTACAACACAACAGAATGGTGTTAAATCTGCTAACAGCACACACACAAAAAAACCCCAAGAAACTTTGACCTTGAATATATCCCACATAGTCAAGTGAACCATCATCATTTTTCACATGCTAAGTTCAGATTATTTGTCAAAAGTCTAAAACTGCACGGTGTCATTAAATGGGGTGTCACTCTGCTCCTCTCACATCATACGCATCGTTTTCTGACTCTCAGCTATCATTTGCACCACCAGAAAATTGTGTGGGATATTAAAATAAAGAAAATAGCCACCTGTTTCTGTAAGCAATCTCAAGAACCCTCTTATATTGCTATAAAAATTATTGTAAACATCATAAATGTAGTCCAACAACAGATACTGATAAATGCTGTATACAGATTGAAAAGAAACTCACAAAAAACCTCAAGGATCTATCACTAGAAGTACAATGTAATGTTTTAGAACTAAAGGGCTGTAAAAATTGCCCAGCCAACTTTATTTTCAAAATAAATTTCATGAAACTGATTGGCAAAATAATTCTCTAATAGACATTTATTTCACTCTTAAGTGTAGTTGTTTTCCGGAGTCTACCAGGAAATTTACTTAGTTTTTGCAGTTTTCATCCAGTTCCATCCTGACAGCCTAAAAGACTATGGAAATGACTCCATTTTAATGATGGAGACACTGACAGAAGGCAATATTAAATAACATGCTCAGCGTATCCTCACTGACAAAAATACCCCCTTTAAAATGACTGATGCCGCTGCAATAACTTTCCCTGGTCTAACTTACCCTGCTTTCAGCCAGAGCTAAGCTGAGCAAGTACAAATCATGCTGCGTACATGTAAATCACATCCACTCTAGGGCTCTGTGTTGGTGCAGTTCCACACTAGTGGCTATATAACCATTGTAAACCAGGCTTCAGATTCACCTATAAATCTGCCCTACTGTAGAGTGAAATAAATGAAAGCATTTGGTCCTAACAGCCCCAAAGAAAACAGGAAAATCCAAAAGGCCAAAGAGGAAGGGAGTAGTATGAATTTTCTCTGCGAGCGGAATGACTTTATGGTCTGCTAAAGGAACAAAACAGAGCTTTATGGTACAGCACTCACAACAGTATTTAGTAATTCATAAACTTTTATCCCATAACTGCTCATGAAAATCTTGCTCCCTTTTTTGGAGGGACAACAAACAAAAAAATCCTTTCTGCAATCTGCACCCCTCTCGAAAGAAATTCCACAAGGAAAACTGAAGCATTAGGACCAAAACCTCATACACAAAGCATACAAAGAAGAACTTTAAATCCCAAAGACAGGGGATCCACTGCATACTTTCTGGGTAGAAGATTATTCTGCAAATGTTGTCATAACATGTCTTGTTACACTGGCTTTTTAAAAATAGTATGTCACTTCTATAAAACACTATAATATGCAGACACAAAAGTGTTGCATCACAAACAAAAAAAAAATTACCAAACTGAAAGTATCCACCTTTGTCAATTAACAAAAAATCCAAACAAACTTCCTCTCAAAAGAAAAGCAAAATTGAAAAGGAGAGAAAGCCTTCAAAATATCACTCAATGTGTGAACAACAGTGAAATCCTGAATTAAGGATCTTGGATCTGGAAAATAACAGTATTTTGAGAAATGTGTGAGACATGTCTGCAAAGTCTCCTTGAATGCAGAGGCTCAACAAGTCAACTGCCGTTTTTCTATGTTATTATTATGCTTAAACCTCGACTAATGGCATAAATATTTAATGTTGGACTCTATCAATTTTCAGTAAAGTTTGTGATCCTTGCACTAAATATATGCTGAGCGCTCCGAGTCGTTCTGCTGGCCTTGAACAGAAATATGGATAACCATGGCAGCAGAACTCTCTGCTGACCTAATTTTTCAGGGCACATGGGACCTGAAGGTGAGGATGGTGATTGTCTTACCACATTAAGAGGCAACATTGTGCTGGATGTGGGATTGTTAGCAGCTTCTCATTACAGAGGCAAACACCAGTGACACTGGAGCTGAGATTTTGTCAGCATTTTCATTATAAATTCTCAGCTGAAAAAGAGAATATTCTTTCCAGTCATTAACTAGCATTAAAGGACATGGAGAGATTCCTCCTCTCTCCTCTCCTTTTTTTTTGATACACAAAAATGTAGGATAGATAAGAAGGGAATCATTCTGTCTTGTACAGAAAGTTACAGAAAGGGAATGTCCAGTCAACCTACTGGCAAGGTGAACAAAGCCATCTTATTCTGTTCAACAAATTCAACGTTTTATACTGGTTCAGCACAGGACTCATGCCAAATCAGTATAGCACACTCATCAGTGATTTTCACACTATAAAAGCCCCAAAATGATCAATTTGAAGACCGGAAAGATCCTGCTAAATGCATTTGCACATCTTGACATCCAGTTACCAGCCTGTTTTCTACCTTCAAAGTCCAGATACATTTATAAGATGCCATTTTCTGATTTCTTTTTCCTTGTGCCTGTACGCTAGCTCACTTAAAACCCAGCAACCAACTAAAACATGTAGTAGCAGAACGCATACACGTTTGCTGCCATAGCACAGTCACAGATAACATACATGGATTCATATGCTTTCTTCAGTGGCTTGAAACAAAACAACTCACTTTAAGGGTGCATTTATAAAAGTCTTGTAAAGGACCAAAACACTTATGCATGAATTATTAAGTAACTATTTGCATATGGTGACAGATTGTATCTAGTAGAGGCATTTTCTCCTATATACCACGGCCATACATATCACACAGGACTGGTGCAAGCAACACGCTTAAAGCACGTCAATTTTCAAAAGCCCTGAAATGTCTTTGGAGCCTGTGACATATTTCTGATCACGTCTGGATGAGATATTTGAGGATATTCCAGCAGACAACCACCACTGGTCTACTTTGGCTCTTACTCTTTACTGGAGACTTAAAGTAGGATTCATTTCATTTAGTTTGGATTTCTGCAGTGATGATGCCTATAGTTGGACTGGTTGCTTAGACTCCTTTTATAATTAACAGGAGAGATACGATGTAATTCATCTTTTCTCTTTAGATTTGTACACTAGCATGAGAAGAACTGAGCCCTGGAGTGCCCTGTTCCATTGTCTATAAAGAGAGATGAGACAACTTGCTAGATATTGACACCTGAAATTAGGTGACTCCTAACAGGTGCTTCAGTTCCACTAATTCTGATCCTAAGTCACCTGGCCCAAGCTATTTTTAAAACCAAAGTTTAGGTACCTAAATAGCTTTGACTATGAGTCACTCCACACAATTTTAACTCTTCAGAAATTAAACAACTAACCTAAACAACTCATATAGGTTCCAAGTATATTGAATGAGGAGAAAGCACATCACAGGTAGGGAATTTATCCTAATTTACATGTGATGTCTAAGATAGATGGGATGAATCACCCTGTGGAAGTGCTATAGCTGAAGCTGAGACAACTAACTTAGGCTAGATATCTAACACATAAAGACATGTCTTTACAAGATGAATCTAACTGTTCCATACATTCAAAATATTTCACAATATCTATTACTCAATTATTACTCAATTATTATCAATGTGCCTCCTATTTAGGGATGCATTCATCATGTGTGAAAGGGTTCTGCATGCACAAGTAGGAAAAATATATCCAAATATTTTTAGGAAAAACCTCTTAAAAAGTTTAATATATGGGAAACTTGACTGAACTGGCATTCATGGCACCTGATTTCAATTCCTGGCAGCAGTCACATAAGTCACTTAATCTATGCTTCTCATCAGTTCCCCATTTGTAAAGAGGGGGAATGATACTTGCTGATTTCTCTGTAGTGTTAAGAGGCAAAGTCCATTAATAGTCATGAGGACATCAAATATTATGGTAATGAGGGGCATAAAATTACACAGAAATCACCAGTTGTCTACTGCTGCTAGAAATCAGCTTTTGAGCAAAGCATGCCAGGCATTTATTTGCTACTGTAATAAGGGACTCAGAAACACAGGTAGGTAAGTAGTTGCCAGATTCACCACAGAACCATGTATTTCAATGCTTATTTGAGGGGAAAAAAAAAAGTCTTTAAAAATGCGATTTACTCCAAATCACTAGTGCTAAAACAGCTAAAGGTATATGAAGAAGGTAATCATAAAACATTCTAATTTTTTTTTCTCTGAAAACTGCACCCTGTTGTAAACTTTCCCATCAGTTTTTGAATTGCCCCAATTGACTCAAATCTACACTTTTCATGAAATAAAATTTTGAGTGGAAAGAATTCCCAACTCTACCTATGGTCTTTCAACCACATCATGAAGTTCCTTCAGGCAATTTTGCTTGTAAAGACTTGTTAGGGCCTTTAGAAATATTTTTATAATTTATAAACTATAGTATGACACAGGCATGGAGGCTGGATAATTGTAACCATTTATTCCCGGCTCCCCACTTTCCAGATTGGGATGAGTTTTAGAATGGTACCAGGTTTCCAACCAGTGGAAAATCAATCATTTGATGATGTAATAGATAATAGATATGAATAGGATAATAGAAATGAAACCATTAGGCTGAAACAGGAATAAACCAGGTTTAACTACGGATTGCAGTATTATCAGTTACACTGAGATTCAGATACTAAGACAAAAATGAAATTAACTTGGATGCACAAAACTCTTGCAAAATACACTTTGTGAACACAGCGACTACTTGCCATGCTATTTAATTTGCAAGTTGTGCTTTAATACCATAGAATCATAGAATAGTTTGGGTTGGAAGGGACCTTAAAAGATAATCTATTCCAATGTCCTCTGGCACAGAGCATGTGCCTAGTGCTATTTTAATTTTGCTTTTACACTTTGGGCACAGTTTTCTGTATTCTCCCTTTTTTCCTCACACCTAAAAGCATCTGCTCAGTAGTAGCCTCATAGGGAACTTTGGACAAAAGTTTAACAGTAGATGTAAAGCCAAAATTTCTAATCTCTGAAAGGTAATTCAATTACTTGCTTCTTTTAACGGCATGTAATGGTCT